TTAGCATTAAACTGGACTATATGTAGAGCAAGGGTAGCAGGTTATCTTATCATAAATCTAGATTATAGAGCAGGGATAGCAGGTGAGCTTAACCTATATAAAACAGATACCAAGAAATATTTGACCAAAACTGGATTTTAGGGTAAAAAAAACATTGATTAATTCAGCCAATTAACATTACTAGGTTTGGGACAGATGCGATAAGAAACTAAATACTTAATTTGGATCAGAAGTTACTGATGCATAAATTTTGTTGACGTGGTTACTGTTATACTTGTTAAGTTAGGGGTAGGGTTATGGGTAAAAATTAGTTAGCATTGGTAGCATGAGTAAAAGGCCTTTCCACCTTCAGAGATCGTCCTCCCACATTTCACGTCCAAGCCTGGTACGACGAGGTGAGGGATTACTCCTTCCCGTACCCCCAGGAATGCAACCCCTACTGCCCGTTCCGCTGCTCAGGGCCAGTGTGCACCCACTACACACAGGTAATCACTGGGCCATGCAGCAGCCATGCAGCAGCCATGCAGAAAAGCACAGCGTACAGATGGAGTGCCTGTGTGACGCCGACCTCACAGCATGGACCTCTGTTTCAGATGGTGTGGGCCACCACCAATCGGATTGGGTGTGCGATCAATGTCTGCTACAACATGAACGTCTGGGGCATGATCTGGGCCAAAGCTGTGTACCTAGTGTGCAACTACTCTCCCCCGTAAGCAAGCAAGCAATCTATCTATCTATCTATCTATCTATCTATCTGTCTATCTATCTATCTGTCTGTCTATCTATCTATCTATCTATCTATCTATCTATCTATCTATCTATCTATCTATCTGTCTGTCTGTCTATCTATCTATCTGTCTATCTATCTATCTGTATATCTATCTATATATCTATATCTGTCTATCTGTCTGTCTTTCAGTTTACCTGTTGGACGCTCTGTCGGTCTGTCTGTCTGTCTAATTTCTTGGTCAAATGATGGCTAATTGCTAAAATGAGGATGAATGCTAAGTGAATGTCTCATGTTTCTGCTCCTGGGTAAATGCAGGGGGAACTGGTACGGACACGCGCCTTACAAACACGGCCGCCCGTGCTCAGCCTGCCCTTCCAGCTATGGCGGGGGCTGCAGAGATAACCTCTGCTTTAGCGGTGGGTGTTCGCAGCGGTAAAAATGCACGTGTGCCAGGTTTTCTACATCCCAGAATGAATACTCTCTCTGCCCAGCACCTTTGATTGTAGCTAATTCCACAAAAACCTGTTTCCAGGGGGTGGTGTGGAAGATCACTACCCCCCAGAGGTGGAGGAGAGCAACTACATTGAGCCTGAAGACCCAAGGGTTCAACAGCCCGCAGAGATGGCGCCCCGCCCAACATCAGCCCCCCCCCAGCAGAGCAGGGACAGGAACACCGTACAGGACACACAGCAGATGTGTAAGATGCTGTTTCACTGTCTGTCTGACTATAAAAACTGGTTCTGTTATACATTATATGTATTCTACATTTATAGGAAACAAAAGAACTTATGGAACCAAAGGGGGAAAATGATCATTGAAGCAGGTCAATGTGCCTTAGAGTGTCTTGTGAAGTATCTATTCTGTGTTGAAGTGAAGGGGTTCTTCAGAGTCATTTGCTCAACACTCAGATCCGATAGGGACACTGCCCCTGCATTTGTAAAAGCACAGTCCAGTGGGACTGCTTTGTTTTTCCAAAGCAGATTTTTTATTTTGCTGTTTCAGTGTCAAGGTGTAAAAGCAGTAAATTTTATTTCCAGCTCAACAGGTGTCTTGTGAGACGAAGCTACGGGACCAGTGTAAAGGAACGACCTGTAACCGGTACAGAGAATGATGCCATTTCTACACATACGTCCATCTTCTAACTTTTCCTGCTCTGGGTTGTGGGTGGGGGGCAGGGGGGGGTGGCTGCTGTCCCAGGCAGCGTAGGACACAAAAGGGCACCCACACAATCACATGTTAGAGGCGATTTAGAGACGGCATACCTAACTTACCTAACTGCAGTCCATCACAGGGCACCCACACAGTCACATGTTAGAGGCGATTTAGAGACGGCCTACCTAACTTACCTAACTGCAGTCCGTCACAGGGCACCCACACAGTCACATGTTAGAGGCGATTTAGAGACGGCCTACCTAACTTACCTAACTGCATGTGTTTGGGCTGCGGGGGGAAGCTCATGTGACACTCAACGAGCAACCGTGCTGCTATATATAAATATTTGCTTTATAAATAAATAAAGACATTTAATTACTATGCAATTCATTCAAGGTCATAGCTGATGCTCTTCTTTCCTTTAATGCAAAGTCTTTAACTCTTTCTGCTTGTTGTTGCCCTGCCTCAGGTATGAATGTCCAGCTGGTTGCGCCAACAGAGAATTCAAAGTGATAGGAAGTGGTTATTATGACATGGTAAGTTCACTCCAGCCCATTGATGGTCGCCACCTAGAGGTACAGGGAATCTGATGCTACTAAAACAGTGAGGAGAAAGACTGTGATAGGCTGCGGCTGTTACCAAATAGGGCTAATGGTGGGCGGAGCATGAGATTGAAATTCCGGTCAGCCTTACGTTGCCTGAGATCTTAGAAACCCATCGAATGGTGAAATTCTTTGTATTTCAGCAATCAAGTATTTGTGGGGCTGCCTTGCATGCAGGAATAATAGATGACTATGGTGGCTGGCTGGACATCTCCAGACAAGGCTGGAAAGAGCACTTCACCGCGTCTTACAGGAACGGGGTTCAGACATTGGGGTGAGACGTTCATTCACTTGCGGCAAGAAGACTTGGCAATGTCACATTTATATGTGTGCTTAATATATTAATGTAATTCACAGAAAATCCCTGGGTGCAAATGCCTTCACAGTCTCGAAAGTGCCAGGTTTGTCTGGTTTTATAGTGGGAAATCTAACACATTCACACGACAGCATAATGCATCGTAACGTTCGTCGTGAGTAATGCCTTTTTCGCTTTTTCCAGTAAAAGCCATTACATGTGACACTACGGTGGCACAGTACTGCCCGTTCAGAAAACCTGTCAGGCACTGCCCAAGGTAAATCCTCAAATGCAGAGATTGTGTCTCTGTAATCCCAGTTGCGAGGAAATAGATGGTAATGAAGATGCTGTTTGGAATGATGTCATTGATGAATGGAGATCGTCTCCATGTGGAATGTCTCCTCTGATGAGTGGGGAGGGTATTTACTGGCATCTCCTGCTGATGGCCTTCTTCCTCCAGACTATACTGTCCTCGACACTGCCTGCAGGACAGGCACCAATCCATGCGAGTCATCGGAACACGCTTCTATTCAGATGTGAGTGCGTGGGGTCAACCAGAACCGCGACCTCCCGTTTTTTTATAATGTGGACACACTAACATTGCCAAGCTTGACTCTTCTTGAGTCATCAGGATTTCGCTTTCTCTCCTCCCATGGGCAGAAGTCGAGTATATGCCGGGCCGCCGTCCACGCTGGGGTCCTTCAGGATGATGCTGGAGGCTATCTCGATGTCATGCCCATTGAGAGGAGGAGGGGATATACTGGCTCCTACCAGAATGGTGTTTCATCAGAGAGGTGTGTCAGACATTCATTCAAAACCATGCTCTGTGTCCTGCTGATGTAACATCGTTTGAACATATGTCCTGTTTTCATTGAGTGAGCCAAAGAAATGTGATGAAACACTAACGTGGACTTTTTTTTTTTTAATCCCAGCCTACATAACCCTACAGGAGGTAAAGCCTTCAGAGTCTTCATGGTCATCTGATTATCTACAATCAGCATGGCCATGGTCATCTGAATATCTACAATCAGCATGTTCATAGTCATCTTATATACAATCAGCGTGTTCATGGTCATCTGATTATCTACAATCAGCGTGTTCACAGTCATCTAAGATCAGAGTGATCATGGTGAATTGATTCATCTACAATCAGCGTTTTCACAGTCATCTTACATACAATCAGAGTGTTCACAGTCATCTGATTATCTACAATCATCATGTTCAGTCATCTAAGATCAGAGTGATCATGGTCAACTGATTCATCTACGATCAGCATCTTATTTACAATCAGTGTGATAATGGTCAATTGATTCATCTACAATCAGCATCTTATTTACAATCAGTGTGATCATGGTCAATTTATTCATCTACAATCAGTGTTTTCTCAGTCATCTTTTATACAATCAAAGTGATCATGGTCAACTGATTCATCTATGATCAGCATCTTATTTACAATTAGTGTGATCATGGTCAATTGATTCATCTACAATGAGCATTTTCACAGTCATCTTATATACAATCAGAGTGTTCATGGTCATCTGATTATCTACAATCAGCTTGTTCACAGTCATCTTATATATAATCAGAGTGTTCATGGTCATCTGATTATCTACAATCAGCGTGTAAACAGTCATCTTATATACAATTAGAGTGTTGATGGTCATCTGATTATCTACAATCAGCGAAACAGTCATCTACGATCAGAGTGATCATGGTCAATTGATTCATCTACAATCAGCGTTTTTACAGTCAACTTATATACAAACGGAGTGATCATGGTCACCTGATTTATCTACAATCAGCATTTTCATGGTCATCAGATTCATCTGGGTAACGCTTTACTTGAAGGGGCACAAATAACTTAGTCACTCAGTTACTACTCGAGAACAAATCACGTTCAACTAATATTGTTCCGCATGAAGTATGTAAACCATCATAATTGATTAATGATGAATGAACATGGGACCAATATGTAACTAACACTTTTTTTACTGGTTAATTTATGCATTAAGTAATTGTGTACTACTACAGTACATCGCGCCCCCTCAAGTAAAGAGTTACCTTCATCTGTTTTCACTGTTCAGTAATGTTCAAGATTACCTGATTTATCTACAGTCAGAGTGTGTATGGTCATGTTATTTACAAAGTTCTCATAATCATCTGATTCATCTACATTCAGAGTGGTCATTGTCATCTACGATTAGAGTTGATGGTCATCCTATCTACAGAATGTTCATAGTCATCTTATCTACATCCAGAGTGTTCATGGGTATCCAGGTGTTTATATCCATCTGAGTTCAGCCTGAAATTATTAAGATCCCATCCATGAAAACTGTAGCAAGGCCTGAAATTCTGGGGATGGACCACAGGTCACATGTTTTCATTGTCATTTTCATTTTTGACTGCATTGGAAGCATTGCTATGAGTCCTTAGTGCTAGGTCTAGTAATCACAATCATTCATTATATAAATATTAAACTAAATGCTTAGTGGTAGCAATCTTTCACTATTATTATCTAGTGCAGATCCATGTTATTGGCTACGCATTTATCTGTTTGTGAAGATTGCGAAAAATGCTGTACAAACAACGGAGATGTGAGTGTAAATCAGTGCTCCTGTAGTGGGACCATGACTGGCTTCGACTGCGTATAAGACATATTTCACAATCAATTTATATGGAAAAAGAATCCAGCAGGATGATAGACCCCCCCAAAAAATACACACAGACAAAAACATATCAAAACTGGGCTGCGCCTTGTGTCACAATCAACTGGATTGATTAATTGTACCCGGGGAGATCTATTTAATAAGATATAAGCTGTGTAAACATTTATCGTCTGTATTACTAAGCTTTTCAGTAAATTCTATTTTTACTACCTCATGTAGTTAGAACTTTGTTCCATTCTTAATAAAATCATTGAAAGTATGCAGCTGGTTTGGATGCCTGTTATTTTAGGCTAGCAACTTTACGACATAACGAACTTCCTCCTTAGCTGTGTGCCGTCTTATCCGCTTCACTTTAACAATAAGGCTTTATCACAGTCCTGGATTCTAGATTAAATAGCTGCATTTTCTGACTCATAACTCGGGAGGTGCTGATTGGAGGGTTTGGGCCTCATACTCTTGCGCCAGCAAAGCTAATCCTTGGTTGGTTGTCAGGGTCTCACCACCGCTGCCTTAGCCATGCGATCGCATCTCACTTCTCCGCTATTCCGCCGCAGTTCCTTTCTGCTGTGAATATAGCACCTTTCCGCTACTATGCTTTTTTTCTAATTTTATTCATGTCAGAATTCTGACCTGCAGTTGCTCTATCTCCCCTGGCTGGAATGGCAGGCTTGGGTTACAGCATCTTGGAACAACAACAGACCCAGCATTCATCCGTGCCAGCGGTCTCTCCCCCCGTCTCAAACCGCCGCGGGATAATAATACCCCCTCCACAGCCACCCAAAACCCCCCCGAGGAGAGGGTTGAGGTCATGCGTTAACCGCCTGGCTGTAAGGGATGGCAAGAGTGATGAAAATCAGGATCACTTTATTATCTGCGAGATGACAAGTCGTATAGACTGCAACACGAAAGTGAATGAACATGAATTAAATGAAATTTAATGTTTCAATGTTGAATCCAGTGTTAAGACCCTGCTTTAAGGAGATGGACACTAAAAATGTACAATGTGCAAAATGACGTGATAAATTGCAAAGAGAAATAAAACGAGACGTATAAGATGATGCCCTGTCATGAAAACATGATCAGTTTTCTAAACTACACTCACTAAAATACTTTTACAGTCTAATTTGCCTGCACAGTACAGAATACAATGGCTCTGTGATGTAGGAGCGTATTTCTGCATATAATCACCATTTCTGGACATAACAATAATGCATAAATTATCGAAAAGAACGATCTGAGCTCATGAAAAACATTAAAAGAAAACATATCATTAGCCTGCAGAATCAGTGAAGTTTTTTTTATCTCATCTGTGTTTTACTATTTCTGTCAAAAGAGCACGAAAACCCTTTGAAGGTGATAAATACTTAAAAAAAACCTTAAATTTGATGTTTCAGTGTTTGTCTCTGTAAGCTAAAGATAGAACAAACTAATGCAACCTGTCAAGCACTGATATTTACACAAATAACTGACCAATCAGAGCGTTAGCTGGCGTGTCGACTTTGCCAGCACTGCGAGGGAGGCTACAGCACTGCGAGGGGGGCTACAACACTGCGAGGGAGGCTACAGCACTGCGAGGGAGGCTACAGCACTGCGAGGGGGGCTACAACACTGCGAGGGAGGCTACAGCACTGCGAGGGAGGCTACAGCACTGCGAGGGGGGCTACAAC